TAAATAATTTCAAAGGTTTAAAATATTGAATTATTTAAAATTGAAAATTGTATTAAAGGGCACGCACAAAAAAAAAGTAATTGTCTCTAGGTGAAAATGTTGGTTTTGGAATGCTTGCAAGTTCCCAATATTATCTATTTTAATAAATTTCGTAGATTTTTTAAATAAAATTTGTTGGAGAAAAAAGTGTTTCATTTACTTATTCTTAAAATGCCTGTTTTAACTACGCTAAAAAGTAGTCAGTATTTATTTCAATAAAACAGTTGCTAGTGATATTATTAGATTAATTTATTGAGCAAGATTCAAATTAGTTTAAATTAAAAATAAATTATTAAAAACTAGTCAAACAAAATGGCGGTTAATCTTCCCGCGCTTTTGGCATGTCGACGCCATATTTGAGATAGAAAGCGCGCCAAAAGTACGCTCGCTCAGGCGTCAGTGGGTTCACGTATTGGGGTTCCAAGTCTATGGCCAGATGATGAGGGTATGGTAGCCATTCTCCGTTACCAGGCTCGGGGGTGGGGGACCTGGAAAATGAGGTTTATACTAAAGCGCAAGTACACTATGCGGAAAATTGTCTAAGTCGAAGCCCGCACACTGGGCGAGACACACGGGGTTGGGGGAGGAGAAAGTAACCGAGATGGTGTTCACACTATTACGTCTTGGCCAATTTTCCGTATAGTGTACTTGCGCCATTAATAGAAAGGTTTTTGTGAACAAATAAATGATCTGGGTACTGCCGCGCTAAGCTGTTATCGATACCTGCTCAGTAAGCAGAACTGTGGTTGGTGAGAATGGACTAACTAAGTAAACTAAAAAGTTAGATTACGACGTTGGGTTCGATTCCCATGTGGAGCACACTAAATATGGTAAAGTCGTTATAAATTATTAACCTTAAAATTAAATACTTAATTTCTCAATAAGTTTAGGTTAACTATTTAAAATCACAAACTTAATCTTGTTCAAAAACATTAAATTCTCTGTTTACCCAAGGTCAGCTGGTAGAGAATGCCACATGGCATTAAGTTCGCCTTTTTGTACCGCTTATTTTTGGTGTGTGCAAAAAAGTTTTTAAATAAATAAATCCACTTACCCAAACTTAGCGAAATTAGTCCACATCATGGTCATGAACGTGACCATTCTGGCATCTTCTTCATCCATCGGCAGCGGCAGTCTTTCCAGCTCAAAGATATAGAACAGCTCATCCTGGTTGGCAGTCGCCAGCAAACTGCTGTTCGTCAACAGCCTACCCAAGTTCCTGTTGCCAATATAATTGAAGATGTACTGATACACAGGAGTTGATGAATTCGCGTACATTTCCGTGAATAGAGACATAGGACCAACGAAAGAGAAGTCAGAGTTTAGATTGATGATTCCCCCAATGACAGTCTCATCAGAATCGATGCTTGCAAAGTACGTGTCTTTCAAAGTCTTCCTGAATTCTTCCTTTTCTTCTTTAGGGATGTTAAGACTACGTTGGTCTAAACACGAGAAGTCTTCGTTCTTGATCCTGTCCATTTGACTCGTGACTGTGTTGTAGTCTAACGTGCTAGTCAAACCTTCGACGGTATTCAACCCTATTATGATGGGAACTGCATGGAATTCTTTGTTCTTTATGATATTGTAAGGGGTATCAGTCAAGAACGGCTCTTCGTCTTCAAATTCTTCTTCAACTGATGGCAAGAAGACTGTTTTCGGGTTCATTTGTTTCGATATAGCTTCTTCTACTTTGAGGATTGATGCTTCTGAGTAGACGTTCAGTAGTTCTTCAGGGTCTACTGTGTTGACACCTAGAGCTTTTGCTACTTGACTGGCAGTGGTCAGGGGGTAACCATCAAACGAATGCGGTGAAAACATAGTCCCGCTCTCTGAAATCACTCTATGGAAGAGACCTTTCGTGGATTCAGATAGAGTCAAATACAATGCTGCAATACCACCGCTTCCTTGGCCAAATACCGTGACATTGTCTGGATCTCCTCCAAAACTAGCAATATTATCTCTGATCCATCTTAAAGCTGCTCTAATGTCCTTCAAACCCGCGTTTCCTGGTGCTTCCTGAATGCCCAGGTTAAGGAATCCATAAGCGTTAAGCCTGTAGTTCAAAGTGACGACACATATGCCATGGCTAACAAGGTATTGAGGGCCGTAGAAGCTGGGGGAGCCAGAGCCGACTCCAAAGCCTCCTCCGTGAAGGAAGACCATGACGGGAAGGGAGGAGTTGAGGAGATTGCTTGGGGAGAAGATGTTGAGGACCAGACAGTCCTCGTTGTCACTGGGCACGGCCAGAGGGTCGTTGCAAGGGAATTGAGGACAGAGCACGGCTCGATTATCTGCTTTGTACACATCTGTGTGCGTCGGCGGTTCTTCTGGTTCCTGGAAAATTAAAAGTTTGTACTGGTTTGTAGCTAAATGTGTCTGAAATATCTACACTTGAAGTAAAAAATTGATGGCACGAAATTAAGATGTTTAGTTACCTACTAAATAAATATAGCTCAACTGTTTGAAAAAGTGGTAGGTATAAACTATCTAAAAACTCGGTCGTTTAATGGAAAATAAATTAGATTTATAAATTGTATCTATAGTCTATAAGTTCTTGACTTATATTAAAAAGCTGATGACTACTTACTCTAAATCTCACAGGTATTCCATATCGTATCCCCAAGTATTCGTAGTAGAGTCCATTCGCTGCTAAACAACCCTCAACTTTACCATACTTGGTGTTTATCTGTGTTTTTTCTATACACGAAACCGCGCCAAAAATGGCTACACTGACAGCTAGAATTAGCGCGCGCATTTCCACAGATTCACTTAAAATTATACTTTTTTAAATTTGTTGCCTCTGTTTTTATACAAAAAGGTTGATTAACACTCAATGAGACGAATTTGCCATTCAAAAAACATCATAAAAGTTATGACAATACAGTTCATTATCAAGTTTTGCGATAGCTGTACGTGCCGATTTTCATTTTACTGTATCAAATCAACCTGCAATCTAACTTGATTATTTATAAGATAAAACATTTTTTCTCGTCATTGTTAAGTAATAATCATGGATTTATAAGTAAAATGTATGTAACTTATTATGATTAATAAATAAAAATTGCTCAACGTTGAGCTATGAAACATTGAGTTTTAAGTTTATGTTATTCTCTATTTGAGTATTTCTCAAAAAAAATGTACATTTTGAAAAAAAAAAAGTGTGCTTTGAAACAGTTCAAAAGTTTTATATTTATAAATCATCACACAAAAAAAACACACACACAATTTTGAAGGATGAATATTAATCTTTAAGATAACGAAGAATTATAGCTATAATCCTACTTATTACCAAATATTTAGATATTTTAAAAATAGTCCTTTTTTACCTTTCATACAAAAACCTGTTTGCCACCCTAGCTTTTTCATGTATTTTTGTTTCATAAAATGCGATACGTAACTAAATTATTGTAAATTTCTTTGTATTATCGTTCTACAGTAATCGCAGTTTCTGTATCAAATTGATTTTCTATGGGGTGTCATAATGAATTGGCAATTTAAAGCAAAAAAACAAAATGAGTCGCTCTCATTTACTATTTCGTTATTTACTCTTTAGTTACGATTTATTTCTACTTTCCCATGGTTTCTGAACAATTCCGTATTTATTTTACACGGACAACAATAGCTGCACTCTGAATGGCTGTTGGCCTGACGTCTCCGCCATAACATCTATCGCGAAAATTAGTGAAAACGTGTGTGTTTTGTGGGATTACTTTTTCGTAACAGGCAGTAAAATCAGCGATTTTATATAGAACGGTAAGTCTTCATTTAACCATTTTTTGTAATACGTGTGGTACGAACATTTAGTAAGCTTTTATATTTGCTGTAACAAATTTTATCAAAAAAATACTTGTTTCTGATCTCATTTTGTCTAATATTTCGTTACGTTTTTTGCGAATTTCGTTACGTTACGAAAAAGTACAACATAATGCTGAGTGTATACTGTTATTACCTGACTAAGCATAGTAATATTCACTACTTAATTAATTTCAAAAAATATAGAGCGTTAATAACAAAAGGATTGGATACTATCTGCTTTACAGAAGTGCCACCAGCCAAAAATTATCAAATCATTTAGATTACGTTTTTATGTGATTACTTCTTTTGTTTTTTTAGGAATGCCGCCAAAAACCAATGCCGAAAGGCAAAAAGCTTACAGAGAACGACTCAAAATAGATAAACATGATGGAACAAAAATAATTTTATTAAAATAGTATGAATGATTACTCCCTTATTTTATTTCTAACCCCTTAATATTACCCCGTATTTGGGTGCATATTTACAAATATTTCGAATTGAAAAAATAAAGAGCATTCACAATATTTCGCCAATGTATAACAAGCCTTATGGCCTTACTATTTCGTTACTACCGTTTCATTACGTACATTTTTTTTGAGAAATACTCATTTACCACTATACTATGGCAGGTTGGTTGCTATTTACCTACTAGTAAAAAGAAATTAGGTGTAAAAATAACAAAAATGTAATAGGTAACCCATGTCAGATTTTGAACCCAAGACTCTGCGTCGGTGCGCGCTTCTTCAACCACAGACCCACTAAAGTACAACGATGCTCGTATGTGATGTTAAGATAAGCAAATTTTTGTATAAACGTTTATTATAATCGAGCAACCCAATTCTCACAAGGAATACAAGGATTAGTAGTTTACCTTCTTTTTACAAAGTCGGCTAAAGATGGCTGCGAGAAAATTATTGTACTTAGTCGTCAATAGATGGCAGTATTTAGCGTGAAAATAAAACGATATTATTATATTATGATTTCTACTAAGTAGAAAGTAAAAAAATAAGTAAAGTATCAAAGTATGACGTATTGATAGGAATCGTCGTCTAATATTATACTTTATAAATAATTATAAAACACACTTGTATTGTATGTACAAAACGGAACGTCATCGCGTCAAATTAAAAAATAAAACAAACAATAGTTTGACTTTTGCATTTGACGTTTCTCAGGTTATTTTGGAGAAAGGGGATCAAAGTTTTTCTATCGAAAAATCATTATTTACATCCAACGTGTTACGTGGGTATTATAGTAATTACAATCTAACAACAGTGTACTGATCACAGTGTCAAAAGTCGCTTTCCTATCGCGGGCAACATTGAAAAAGTACTGAATTCGTCCAGTTGCTTACGTGTTGAAATACATTTTCTAAAATCACCCAAGGTATCTTCGAGAGGCATGCTCGGGTAACGATTACGACAACAAGCGACCCTCGGCCCAGTTATGAATAAGAAATTGGCGCGTCCAGGCCCCAAAATAAGGATAACCCGTCCTGCGATACGCAATCGGAAATTGGATGAAATACCGCTGTCTCCACCTAAGGTGAGCGACGATAGGAAGTACATCTACACCTGTCAGTATTGTAGACTGAAATTCACGCAGAATAGCCACTATTTCCGCCATATGACGTCGAATCATGAGCTTCAGCAACGACAGGCGACGTTTGAGTGTAACGAATGTCAGATTGTCTTTTCCAAGAAGAGCAACCTCGATATTCACTGCCAGACGCATCACCAAGCTAAAAGCAAGTCAAAATGCGAGAGCTGCGCGATAACTTTCAAGTCACGCTACTGTTTGCGAAGACATCTCAAACTGAAGCAGTTAATGATGGAGAACTCGTGCATAAAATGCCAGAAAAAGTTCTTAAGTAAAGACCAACTCTCCAAACACATACAGAACAAGCACACGTTCAAGAACGTCACATTCCAGTGCGATTTTTGTTCGTTGAAATTCAAAGCGAAGGAGTCTTTAATGAGCCACCTCAATCGTATTCACAAAAGGTTATGATTTTTCAGCAATTACGGTAGATGTAAGATTATTTAGGTTGTACTTAATGATTTTGTACGATAATTTATTTCACGTTACTAATAGTTGTGCAACGCTTTTTCAGCTACTAAACGTCTCGAATTAATTTTCTATAAGAAGGCTTTGTTTGTTTATTTATCTTTATTTAGTCTTGATCTTCATTAACTACAAATAAACCCACACAAAGCAAATAATGTGGTCTCCACTTCAAAAAGATGAACAATGTTCAATATTATCGATAAAATGTATCTTATTAATTCTATATTGATGTTAAAAGTTTTGGTAAACTTGTGGCATCGTCTCCTTTTTTTGTCTCGAATTGAAGAGTAATATTTTTTGTAGCAAAACAAAGAATATTTGTTTATTTAAAGATTAAAGATCTGTTATTCTAATCATTCATTTATTTTTTCTTTTTTTTTGTTTAATTTTCAACTTTATTTCTTTTCATCGCCTTGTGGCCTTTATTGTGTTTCAGATTTTAGTATAGAATGTCCTTTTTTTTTTGTATTATCCCATAGTTGGATCCTTTCTATGAACAAAATAATCATAGTTATCTTTATTTATTTACATATAGCTGAACTAAAAAAGATTGATTTATTACCTTGATCATTGATAACATACTTTAGTGAAGATCAGAGATGGAATTGTGTAAAACAATCGTAATCATTTGACAGTTCATAACATATGATTGTTCTGTCAAACGCTTTGTTTAACTGACTGTATCGTATGTTATGAACTGTCAAATGATTACGATTGCTTTACACAATTTCATCTCTGTTACTGTATGATCTACATTCTTTTCGGTTACAGTTGAACCATTTTCTATTAATATAAATCCGTCTGGCCAATGTGGGGAGTGTAGCCCAAATCCTCCATTTGCCTCTGGCGAATTAGAGGGTTGTTCTCCTGCAGTGGAGACTAAATGACCTGATGATATGAATATAACACTACAGCTAAATTAAACTTTTTATTTCTATGTTCAGCTACTAAAGGAATAAAGTCCGGTCGCTGAGCAGGTAGAATTTCGTCCAATGACCCTAAGCTACCCATATGCATACCTACTACTCATACATCCATGCGCACACTCACTACGGCCGCCCGTCGCACAGTCGCGACAGCAATATAATTACGTGCGAGTGATAAGAATGGGTAGCTTGGGGTCATTGGACGAAATTCTGTTCAGCGACCGGACTTTAGTAAAAATGGTTTCAGATGGTCCAAGGTTAGATCTTTTGGTTGATGTTCAAATAATAGCTTTAGAATAATTGTAAAAAATAAGGTTGTGTAGATTAATTTTCGTGTATAGTTTCAATGCCTTATCTATTTATACAGAGCTTAACTTAATTTTAATTGTAGATGAAATTTACCTTTCTTTTCTTATGGTTGTAGAAATTGTGTCTTAGAAGAGCCATTATGTTAAGTAAAGGAGATCATTTAACTTGGTTGCTGATTTAAATTTCCCCACCCATTGCAAGTTATTCCTTTTGTTATTAATAAGTAAATGCAACATTATAGATCGTTTCATCCACGAAGACGCGCCCCACCATTCTTCACTAAATATCAATGAGTGCACACGCACACTACAATAATGACGCTCGGATTGCTCGGATCAAACTCGCCGCACCCCGCGCGACCGAGACCAAACATTGGTGGGGCGCGTCATCGTGGATGAAATGATCTATAGCTAGCATACTTTATGTAGGTAAATAACGATGTGTAACATAGAAACAATCGTCTTTAATGGATTCTCTGATTTCTTTACAAGCCACAAATTATTTGCTTGAGTTGTAAAGTTATTTGCTTGTCAGAAAATGTATGAAACCAATCACAGATCCATATGTAACACAGATGTCTATGTTTTCTACCAACATACTTACATTGTACATAAGATGGTATTTTTCCAATGGCTATAAATGAAACACAAGTATGGTATTATTTGATGTGCATGAAGTTTAAAAACTTAACATTTATCAGCAGATATGACTTGTTGCAATTTTTATGACTTTAGGAGGAGTCAGCGTCACACAAAGTAGCTAAAAAGTTCGCCACACGTCTTTGTTACAATGGAATAAGGTAGTGTTCTATAATTTTTGGTCACTTTGGGTGTCACAAACTATTTGACGTTGTTAACCCATTTTCATCACGGCTAAATCTTCATTTGAGAGAAATTAAAACCACCTCAATGTTAATGATAAACGATCTAGGGGCTTGATTATTAAAATTATACAACACCCTTTATGTTTAGGCTTTTGTAATATTGGTTTCAAATAAGACTACCGTGTTGTAAGAATTAATAATTTAATTAGACGTAAAATAAGAGCGCATGATTCTTATAAAAATGAGCAATTTAAGGGTTGTTACATGGACATCCCAACTAATATTATAAATGCGAAAGTAACTGTCTGTCTGTCTGTCTGTCTGTCTGTCTGTTACGCTTTCCCGCTTAAACCTCGCAACCGATTTTGATGAAATTTGGCATAGAGATAGTTTGAGTCCCGGGAAAGAACATAGGATAGTTTTTATCCCGGTTTTTGAAACAGGGACGCGCGCGGTAAAGTTTTTCTGTGACAGACAAAATTCCACGCGGGCGAAGCCGCGGGCGGAAAGCTAGTTAAAAAATAAGACTTCGCGCCGCTAATCGGACGGGGTCTCCAAACTACGGCCCGCGGGCCATATACGGCCCACGGGCCATATTCGGCCCACGACAGCTTAAGACTAAGTCTATGTTTGCATAGGTGGGCAGAAAAATCAAAATGTTATGGCCCTTGCAACATACCGAAAAAATTATGGCCCAAGGCTTCAAAGTTTGGAGACCCCTGCCTAGAAGAAGAAATTGAAAGGTCAAAACTAGTTTGAAGCTTTTGAAGGTAGATAGAAAAATAGTATTGTGCACCACACCGAAAATAACGTAATGAATAAAAGAGGGCACTGTTTAGGCGGTCTTATCGCTACGAAACAATCTCTTCCAGACAACCTAGAGAGAAGACAGTTGTTTGTAATCAGTAAAAAGTAATCAGGTTCAAATCAATTTAATGTTTTCAAAATTTTGTGATATGTTTTTGTCAATTTTCAAAGTAATAAGCACAATTTTAGGATGTTACTTGTTTTCGGTTCGTGGCGCTTAAGTCTTATTTCATGTCCATGATTAATTATGTGCACTAATTTATTTCTGTACTTACATCGTTAATTAATTATACGGCTGCACTCGAGTAATAAGTGTTGTTTAGCACAAATCCAGACCGTCCTTAGGATTAAGGTCTGTTAAAACTTTCATGGCCACTGACAATCCGACATATCACCCGTATTCTCAAACGATGCTTGCTTTAGACACATCGTTGAATAGAGCTCTGTGATTGATTCGTGTGTCACTCTGTGCGTCCACGCGCACTGTGAGACTTCATAATAATGTTTGTGAATACGGTCGTAAGTGCCTTTTTCATTTGTGATGCGGATTTCGGTCGCGTGCGGATTTTTATTTCATACAATGTTTTTCCTATAGGCCTATTCAGACCTAAGCGGTATTCGCTACCGTCTGCGGCAGAGAAAACCCAGTGGGTATGCGGTAATAATACTGTTCAGACCTAAGCGGTATTCGCTACCGTCTACGTACCCTCTACCCACAGCGGCAGCGAATATCGCTCAGGTCGCTCTAGCCGCGATACTTGATACTAAATACCTGAGCGAAACCCGCGCGGTATGTACCTCTACCCACAGCGGCAGCGAATATCGCTCAGGTTTGAATAGGCCTTATTACTTGGGCTACACCCACGCGGAACGTGGCTTGGCTGCGTGCACACAATACGAAATATTTGTCCTGCGTACAACCAGCAGCGTGACTTTACTCGCACGCCGACGAGATCCGCATGCGTGCTAACATCCGCATCACAAGAAAAAGGGCACTCAAAGGTGTATTATACAGCTGCGTTACATGCAACTTTTGAATGAGACCGGAAAGTTCAGTGTGAATATTGAAGGTAAATGTGTATAGGTAGGTAATATATAAAAATTATACGCTGTAAAGGTTTCAAAGTTTGTGAATACTTGAGTATATTTCTCTAGCTGTCTACATTAGTTGTAAGAGAAAATGACACGCGTAAGGGATATGTACTGGTAACTCAAATAAATAAGCAGTATTTCCATCTATTATGTTTTTTATTTCCTTCGAAAACCTACAGGCGATACCCAGTTCTTAAAACTCTTCTCACCCCTGGGCCACACATTTAGTTTCACGTGGGTGAAGCCATGGTCCAAAGCTAGTAATAAACGATAAATAAGTACTAAAATTTGGTTTGTGTAAATTTATTTATTTTAAAACCATATTTTAATGCAAACAAAGAATTAAATTAACATAATAATAATAATAAAATTTATAACCATAATGTGATGATTTTACTAACATTTAACATAACTACCAAAATTTTAGAACTCTTCATCAAAGTATTTCAAATGTACCTAATTCCATTATTTACAAACAAACATTAGAAACAGTATTTCTGACTAGATAAATAGTGTTTTTGTCTTAAATTTAATCAATATTGCTTTTTGTGAAACACATTAGTCTCTGCTGTACTTTTAGGCCCAGAACAGACGGTGAAACACAACTGCAACTTCTAGTTACTTTTGAGTTGCATCTAAGTTTCTGCCATAGATTCCGTTGAGAAACTGGTTTGAAATGGTCGCGTCATGTCTGGTCACTCAACGGAATCTATGGCAGAAACTTAGATGCAACTCAAAAGTAACTAGAAGTTGCAGTTGCGTTTCACCGTGTGTTCTGGGCCATAAAGTCTGCTTTGGAACGCAGCACATTTTTTCAATTCTGATTATAAAAATTGATTCATCTGTTGCTAACGTAATCACTGTTCATCGCAACCTTTCTGTGATGCTTTTCTCTCATATGTCTGGCCAAGTGATCTTTTCGTTTATACATTTGATCGCAAATTGGACATACAACAACTATTTTCATATGTTCTCCTTTTATATGCCGAATCATGTGATCTTTTCGTTTGTAACTGAGGCTGCAGTGTGGACAGACATGTCTGTCTTGATGATTTACCTCGTGAAGTAACAATTCTTTTAAACTCGCGCACTTAAATCTACATTCGCGGCATCTGAACGCTTCTTTTTTGCCCGTGTGTTTTTTCTTTATGTGCTGCAGTAGTATATCTTTGTCTGCGAACTCTACGCGACATACGGGACACTTGGTGTATTGTTTCCCTCGGTGGATGCTCTGTATGTGTCTTTGAAGGTGATACTGCCGTCTGAAACTTGTACCGCATTCTGGACAAGGAAACGACGGTTCCTGCGCTCTGGTAACCTCTTTAGACTTGTGGTCGTTTGCGTTGTGGTATTCGAACTCGGTCAAATCGTCGAAATAAGCGTCGCATTGTGCACAGTAATTTGTATAAGGCTGGGAGTCCGACTCGGTCAATAAATCACCGGAAAAATCTTCTTCTTCGATTGGAATTTCCCACGCTTGCTCCTGTGGTGCATTTTCCGACATGATGAGGTTTGAAATATTTCTGTTGTTTAATGATTTGTGCTAGTTTCATTGATAAAAACGAGAGAATACATGTTAATATCGCGCGTCTCAAAAATGACAACAATCAATAAAAATGACGGGGGTGGAAACCATGAAGCTAAAGATAAAAATGGAGGCCAGACTTAGAATACCTACTTGAAGCACACCCTATGTATCACTATCTCGCTCTCTGTGGGCAGGTTCTCTCTTTCTAAGTAGGGTAACCTTTTATTTATTTTTCTCAGGACGACAAAGACTGATTTACGTTTAAACAGTGTGTCTTGATAAAGTGCACTTAATATGATTATGAAAAAAGGTTTTCGATGTTTTTGTTTTAAGATGAATTACAACATTAAGAAAGTGTAAAGGCATCGAAAACTGTGGATATTTGATAGAAAACAGATTTTAATTTGGCAGTTGACAGACGGATTTGGATATGGATTGATTACAGTAAACGGCCGTAGAAAACATTATGCAAAATTAGATAAGTAAGGTCCCACAGAAAGTCCCAGATATATCCTCAATATGGTCATACTACTTCAAAATGTCTTATAGAAACAAAAATTTTAAATTTGCTCAAAGTCAATGAAACTCAATGTAAAATCTTCTTTTTCTTGACATATGTAACATTTAATAATAAGTTTAAATACTGGTAAAACGTTTTAGGAAGTAATTACTGTGAAAATACAAAGAAATATGTTAACAATGATCCACTGTCAGAAATCACGAAATAAACACTTACGCGTGGAATTTTATATCACTTCCAGGACAACACGAACTACCGCAACCACGCACTATACAATTTTGCACCATTTCTTCAGACAAAACAATGATAAAACAATCCTTAAATAATTCAGGTTCTGTAAGAAAATATCCGCCGTGAAGTTGCAGGAAAATTATTACCGCGATTTGCTCTCGCATAGTTGCGAATGTAAGGGTCCGGCTGTGAGAGTGCCTATAGTAAAACGGGCATCATTTAAAAGACATTGCCTATAAAAATTTTAATCCACATTGTTAAACTCCAGTTTGCATTAGTAATAAATAATAAAAAATCATTTTTGAAGTTAAAAAATTCTCACTGGACACCCTTTATTTCTTCTTCACTTCCCAATATTTCAATGTACATCGGAAATAATATTCTACTAAGAATTTCATGAAATTTTTTTTTTGTGTTTTAATGCCGGTTTTCTATAATCAATCTATCAAAATCAACTGTCAAACGTCATTATGTTTATGGTCAAAATATTAACGGGTTTCAAAGTTTTTACATAATTTCAGATTGAAATTTGAGAGTTGAAGGTCATTTTCGTTTTCGTTTTCGTTTTCGGCCGAAAATGAGACTGCAGCCGAAGCTTCGTTTTCGTTTCCGTTTTCGGCTGAAAATCCATATTCGGTCGGACACTAGTTACTACTAGGTGGACCGACGATCTGTTAAAGGTCGCGGAAAGAGCCTGAATGCGGGCAGCGCAGGACCGTTCATTGTGGAAAACCTTGGGGGAGGCCTTTGTCCAGCAGTGGACGTCATTTGGCTGAAACGAACGAACGAACGAAGTTTGCGTTGTTTCTGGCCCGTTCATTGTCCCGAAGCAGTGGCAAGGTTAAAAAACCGGCCAAGTGCGAGTCGGGCTCGCGCACAAAGGGTTCCGTAGCAGCAACAGTTAAATCAACCTATCTCAAAAACTATAAGAGATACTTTGATCAAACCAAAAATCGTTGAAAGAGTTAATTAGCATGCATCACCTCTATTTTTTTTAGAATTTTATACCCCGTAGTTATAAAAATAGAGGGGGGGGGACATACTTTTTACGACTTTGAGAGCTGATATCTCAAAAACCGTTCACTTTAAGAAAAATGTTTTTTAGAAAACTTTATATCATTTTAAAAGACCTTTCCATTGATACCCCACACGGGTATGTACATCGAAAAAAAATTTTCATCCCTCAGTTACATGTATGGGGGGCCCCACCCCCAATTCTTTTTTTTACTATTTAGTGTCATAATTTTGTAGCGGTTCATACAACACATATTCCCATCAAATTTCATCACTGTAGTACTTATAGTTTCCGAGTAAATCGGCTGTGANTTCCTGGAGCGACGTTAATATTAATTTATATTATTCTGTTCTGTTGGCTTCAATGGTGGGTACCTATTTATTTCAATAAGTTAAACTCTAGGTAAAATTGACATTTAGTATGGAAATGTAATTTTAAAAACCAGTGTTCATCCCTTTCATAGAGGAGGATTAATTCTCTAAGGTTCATCCCGGGCTTAATTTTTTTTGTATAATGGGTTTTATGACTGAAATTGACTCAAACAGAGATAAAATAACTAAGAGTCTTTAACATAATTTACTTACTTGGCAATTAAAGATAGATTTACTCAAATCCTACTTCGTACTATGTAATGTTATAAATGCGAAAGTTTGTATGGACGTCTGGAATCTGAATGTTAACAGGTTTGTTACTTTTTCACGCAAAAACTACTGAACGGATTTTGATGAAACTGCAGTATTATACTTTATAACCCAGAATATCTTTGAATGCAGTTCCCTTTCTTTACAAAAATAAAGGAATGTTTCCTTTGAGTAAAATTTTCTATCTACAGTATTAAGAGTACTTTCCCTACAGGTGGCATTACAAAGTTCCACCCTGTATAATTTATGACGATCTTTGACAAACTAAATTTCACGCGTGTGAAGCCGCGGGAAGCAGCTAGTTACTAAATATTATGTTCATAAATAGTTCAGTCTCAATGTTATTGATGAAAATAAAGCCCAACTAGACTTTATTTTCTATTGGCGCGGTAGGTTTTCTTTTATTTTTCTTAAAAACCTACAGTTGATGATTCTGTGAATTAATGACTGTATAGTTTTACTTACTAATAGTATTTCATAGTTTCCTAAGTTTATGGTGCTTACTTATAATTATCGAGTTCAGCGGATGATATTTTATTCCATTATTATTTTGTAATTTTCCTTACGGAATAAGAAATCATCCGCTTGGTGTATTATCTTCGAACGTGTAGATAATTCTAAGATGTACTTCATGTTCAGACTCAAGTGCTCAAAAGATAGGACCACCTTTGTAATTTTGTCGATAGTTGTATGCATTAGTTTTTTAAGTTGTATTTTTATGAAATAAATTTTTTAATAAAACTTATGTATTTGGTTTTTTATTTCTATAAATAATTTGAAATAATAATGTACCCGTACCGTAAACCGTTATTGGTGCGGTAACGTTACTCGTTATAAAATATATTAAAGCGGTACTGCAACGTCGCTAAGGCAGTCGTTATTAAAAAGTTACGATCTTTTTTTTTTTTTAGCGCTACCCAATGGAAGTCCATAGATGCCGGAACTTTTACTATGAACGGACCAATCATAGGGCCGTTTCCTATCTGTCCCTGCCCTGTCTCATCTGTGGTGTAATTGACAGAAATGACTGACAGCTGACAGTTTACTTTTTCAGATCACACTTCACAGAGCAACTTTGTATTGTACTGTCTCGGCCACAGATATGGATTAGAGTAGATACAGCAAGTTGATCGTCAAAGCGTGCCATTCCGATGTGTCCAAATGGACATACATGGTCGAGTGATGTTCATGTAATCCGATTACAACAATCGGTTACGATGATTTTACGAGGACAGTAGTACGAACACGGTAGAAAGAAGAAATTATTTACGGATTGAGAATTATAATTAGCAGCACAAGTAATAAATAATTAATTAGAATAAAGTAGCAGTAGAAGAAGTATAAAGTAGCATTGTTTTTAATACATATCCTGCGATGTACTCTTAAGAGTTAAAACCATGGTCCCTGTATGTGGTGCACTCATACCGATCCCAAGGAACCGTACTTACTCATTACAATAAGACACACACTGATCCATGTATTCATGCACTTGACAAATTTATGTCATAAAACCACAGAATAAGTAATAGTACAGGTATAGATGACCCACGCTGAACTGTCCCACCAAACTCAATGACAGGGGGGCGCTACCATCGTTCAACTATATGGTTTCCAACATGGCAAAAATCTGAACCAGCGATCCGGTATTGACGGTGGCGCCCCACTGTCAATGTTATCGACAGGACAGTCCAGTATTTTGGAACTATACAGAAGGATTACTCCGCAAGACGATTTAAATAAATGAAAGTCTTGCTACGACGCGATACAGTGGAATTCAGCTCGCACAGCACTAAGTACCTACAATTTTAATCACCTACAAGTTTTGTCTCTTTCTATCGCGTGCCTCTGAACTCTTCTTACGCTGTTAGGGTTGCTGTCTAGTAAAAAAATAATTAATCTACTTATTTGTAATAAGGTACGTATGTAGGTAAGTACGCATTGATTATGGAAAACCTTGGGAGAGGCCTTTGTCCAGCAGTGGACGTCATTTTTGGCTGAAACGAACGAACGCATTCTGAGCAGTAGTCATGTGGTAGGTTAGGTTCCTATACTATCCTAAGAATTATTGATTACCTACATGGCCAACATACCTTTCAGCATCTTTGGGAAGCGAAAAAAAAGATAAATCCGGTAGATTTCTTTTCGAATTTAAACACCCGAACGCCGCACAATAATATTTCTTTCTCTTTATGTCCATTTTTAAATAATACTTCGATCATAGAATTAGGTACTACAACGACGCACGCCAGCGTTGCCAGCGTCCTGACGGGCGCGCGCGTGACACTCGACTGATATAATACCCGCCGGCGGGGCGCTTCGCTGTAGGTAATTATCGGATGTACCGCGCGGAGTGAGCCAGGCCTGATAAAACGCTGGTAGGGTAAAAAAAATAACGAGATTTGACGATTTGTAAGAATTAATTTATTTTAAAAAGGTAAATAAAGATGTTTTTGGTTTTGTATTTAACAAATTATCAGTTTTATCGGAATTAATTAATTTTCGAATCGAGTCACACGATATCATTCGATGACTTTGCAAATGCAGTACGATGATACGATTACTTTTACGT